GGCGCCTGTCTTTGCCACGGCGGGCAGAAGCGACGCCCGTCTGGAGGAGGAAGTGCCGACGGAAGTCATTGATGTTAGCAGCAAAACGCAAGATTCATCTGAAAAGGCACCACTGTCGACAAGGCCGCGCAGCAACAGCACGATGGACAAGGCGTCGTTCACGCCCGACATTTCGCAGGCACTGGCCCGCATGGCCACAGCACCCGGGTTTGGCTCGGCACGCAAGGCCCCGGTCAAATCAGCGGATCCGCCCAAGGAAGCCAAACAGAGCAGCAGCACGCACCCATCGGCGCCACCGAGCGTCGCGCCACCAGCACCGTCCCATGCGGCGGAAGATGCACTCTGGAAGCTCATCCGCGAGTTTGATCGGACCTTGCAGCAGCTGCGCGCGACCCCGCGCTTGGACCTTGCTGCGCACGAGACGCTCTTTTGTGACGTGCGACGCAAGGGACGTGCAATGTCCGACGGCGTTCAGGAGCTCGACGAAAGATTTCATGTGACTGAAGCCGATGTCGCTCGTGTCGTCACGCAGAGCAAGACCGTGCGCGACGAGATCGACGAAGCCAACCGGCTGCAAGTGTTCGCAGACCCGGCGACGGACCCCCTCGATGCGCGGTCCTTGGCCACGTACGACGAGCTACAGCAAAAGTTTTGTGGCGTCAATGAGACGTGCGTCAGTCTCTCGGCCCGCCTCGCACATCTCGGGTAATTGGTCGCTGTGTTCTGACGGACTACATCTGATCGATTGCGCTAGCTCCAGTCGTCCGAGCGACGTGCTGCATGCGCTCAAGCAAAGCTACGACCGCTCCAAGGAGCAGTACAACCATGCGCTGGATCTGGCTGGCCACATGGACAAGCTCACGGCCGTCGCTTCACCGGCAGTAGCGCCCTCGATGTTGCTTGCGCTGCGCCAGGAAGACGCGAGTGTCTCCGATCTCGATAAGGTCTTTGGCACCCTCCGTGTCTGTGCACCTCGGCTCGTTTCGACATCGCTTTTGCCGCCAGCGTCGACCAAGCCGGCCGCCAAGCCCCTCCGCGTCCGTAGTTCGCTCCTTTCGACAGCTACACTGACGGTTCCCGCGCCACCAAAGACGCCACGAGGCCACCTCTCGTTCCAAGCACCGGCTCCAATGCCGACGATACAGACAAGAAGAGAAGATCCGCTAAGTGAGACGTGTCCCGATGACGCGTCCTCGCCACCCGGCGGCAACAGCCCCACCTCGTCGATCCCATCGACGCCGACAAGAAACAAGTCGTCCAAGCCAATCAAGGTGGCGACGTTGCCGTTTTCGCTGTCGCCCAAGGCCAAGGCCCCGTCGCCGCTGCAGCGCCCCACGCCGATTGCGATCCCGCCCCGTGTCTCGGAGCCTGAGAGCGACGAGTCGCCCCGCGCGCGCAAGATGTCGCTGGGCGCTCGCACGCCGCCGCCGTCGGTGCTCGGGCGACCACCGACACCCAAGCTGGCCGCGCGGAAGACGGCATACGCCACGGACGTCAAGTCGCGACCGATCATGTCGCCGCTGTCGCTGGACCCGCCCAACTACCTCGGACGTCTCGAGAGTTTCTGCGCTATGTACGCCCCGGGGCACGTGATTGCACAGAGCGCGATGGAGCGGCTCTTGCGCGACCACGCGGGGCGGGAGAACGAACTGTTTCTCCACCTTTTACGACAGTTTGTGCGCAGAGACGCGACCGAAAGCGACGGGCACGCGTACGTGACCCGGGGCGCGCTTCCGCCGCCTCCGACCGTCAACTACAAGGCGCTTCTGACCGCGTTTTACGCCAAGCACAACCCCGCCAAGCTCCCCGAAGTCGACGAACTCCTCGCCAAGTACCAAGGCAACGAAGCACGGCTCTTCAAGAGCCTCCAGCTCAAGTACAGTACGGCAAACGCTGCATCGCGCCCGACGTACGTCCCAGCGTAGTGTCAAGCATCCTGCAGCGTCCGCCTTTATATGCTCGCTGTCTCTAAGCTATGATGATCGAGCTCTTCTGTTTTGACTTATAACTTCAAGTGCTCAAAATGGAGCCAAATTTCCCGCCATAAATGGTTTTGAATTATTGGAAGTCTTGTTTATCCGGATTTTGCGTCGTCGTATCCGGATTCTCGGACGCCAAAAACGCGATGGCGCTGCCCCGGCTCGTGGAGGAGATCGAGATCATTAGTGCGTCCTTGGGGCGCCACGAGTTCCACCCGATGGAGCAGCAGAAGCCCATCTACGTCACGGAGCTCAACGCGCCCAAGCCCGACCGCGCGGCCGAGGCGCGCCGCAAGACTGGCGACGAGTTCTGGGCCGAGTTCCGAGACACGGCGGCGGCGCTCGGCGACTTGGACGGTACGATGACGCCGCCGAGACAAGGATGAGCTCATGGCGGTGGCAACGTAGAGATCACGCACTACTCGACGACGTTTGAGAGTCTTGAGAAGAAGTGCAAGGCGCTCCAAGTGCAAATGGCCGGCATGTCCAAGCAGCTGCACACGCGCAAGTCGGATTTGTACCTTGACTCGCGCATCAACGAGCGTCAAGAGCAGAAGGAGCAAGAGTGGGAAGGCCAAATGCAAGCGGGTCGCGCCGAACTCGAGCATCTGGAGACGAAGCTCGCAAAGGTGCAAGAGGACATTGAGAGCCTCGAGACGGACATTCGCGACGGCGAAGCGCGGGCTGCCATCGGTACTACGCGAGATACCTCGTAGCATGTGCTCATGTACATCGTGTAGACCCGTCACTCTTGATGGACGAGAACGAGACGCTTGAAGAGATCTTGCTGCTGCGGGCCGAGGAGAAGAAGGACCTCCTCGCGGCCCTCGCCGCCCTCAAACGCCAGCGCGACGAGCACGTCCTCGAGTCCGAGAAGGTTCAGACGTCCCAGTCTGCAGAGCTGGAGCGCTTGAAGCTGGAGCGCGACAGCCTCAAGAAGACCATCTTGGCGTACGAAGAGCCAATGGCCGACGACGCGAGCATGGATCGACCAACGGTCGAGGCCCGCGCCGCCGCCCTCGCCGACGCGCTGGGGCAGTGGCAAACCAAGCTCGAGATCGAGACGGCGTCCGTAACAGCGCTCAAGGCCCAGATGCAGCGCCTCGTCGAGACGCAGGCCGCGAACGGCACGCCCGGTACCCCTCACCACACGTGTGCGGTCGTGCTCCAGCTCTTGTATGCCAACAACGGCGAGATGAGCAAGACACAGCTGCAGGCCGAGGCGGCGGCCACCGGCTGCGACGACGCACACGTCGTCCGCGCCATTTACGCGCTCGTCGGGAAGAGCCTCGTGCACATCGATCGGTCGCTAGCCGAAGGCATCGTCACGTCCATGTTATTGTAATCGCAGTTGCCTCCTCCTATTTCCAATTTGCTCAAGGGAAGAGGTACGCCTTGGTCGCGACTTCGTAGCCGGCGAGGAGCGACGGCCCAAACGCGGTGATTAGGTCATAGATATGGTCCACGGGTTGTCCCAAGGCCGCCGTGCGCTGCGCATAAGCCTCCAGCGTGCTCGCGACATTTGCCCAAATGGCTTGCTCGGCCGCGAGCGCGAGCGTGCGGTCTCTCCAGCTCGCGCGGCCAAGCGGCAGTTCGGACGGCGGCGTCGGCGGGCTGTACGCGTCGAGACCCGCGCTGGTCTCCATCCACAAGACGTACGCGGCGGCCGATATGTTGTTGGTCTTGTGCGGCAGGGCGAGCGACGCAGGAGCCCGCGAGAGCACGTGGTGCCACACGTTGCTCGGCCGCACCTTGTCGAGGCGCGCGTCGCGAAAGATGCGGTCGTTCTCGAGGAAGAGGACGTGCTTCATGGCCCGAAACTCCTCGAACACGAGGCCGTGGAGCGGCCGGACGCGGCTCAAGAACGCTTCGAGCTGCGCCATGTCGTTGACCAAGCGGCACTTGCCATGGTCGTTGAGCGGCCGGACGAGCGCAATGTGCCGCGCAAACGCCGAGAGGAGCCGGTTGCAGAACGCATCGAGACACGTCGTCGCGATCGTCGCGCCGTCGAGGCCGAGGCGGCCAAAGTGCTCGGTCAAGAGCACGTTGAAGACGGAGGTCAACTCGACCATGAAGCGGTCGGTGGTGACGTTCGAGACAAAGCTCTCATCGTGCATGCTTGCGAAAATGCTTTCGCAGCGCGTTGCGAGAACGTCCAAGTACGCACTCAGCAGACGCTGCGAGAGCCGCTCGAGGGGCTCGCGAAGCGACGCGAGCGGGCCCGCAATGGCCTCGGCCACGCCTTCGCTTTTGTTGATCGGCAGCTCGAGAAGCGCGTCGTCGAGCTGGTGGCAGAGGTGCAGCAGTGCCATGTTGTGGGCGTGGGCAACCGTGCGGGCCGACGTCGGTGGCAGCGCTAACGCCGACGCGCCAGCATGCGCGGTGGACGCAATGTTGGCGCAAAACTGCTCGACCGCGCGACGCACGCCATGCAGCACCATACACACAACGACGGGGTCGTCGCCGCCCGCGTCGACTTCGACCGAAAGGATCTTGAGCAGCGTGTGCATGTCACTGCGGCTTGGCGGCGACGGGTGGTACCCGTTCGACTGCGGAAACATCATTGTGATCGGATGCAAAAGGCGGTCGCCCGATCGCTCTTGGAACTTGGTGGCAATCGCTTGGAACGCATCGAGGAGCTCGGCTTGCATCGAGTTTATCGGCAGCGCCATGGCGCGGTGGGGACGCCCGGCGTCGGCCAACAAGAGCCGCGCCGTCGTCGCAGCCCACGCCGTCACGATGCGGAGAGCCTCGGCGCGGAGCCGCGGGTAGTGGCCAATCAGCACGCTCTTCACGCTCAGCCGGTATTCCATGGCCTTCTTGAAGAGCTCCGAGAGGAGCGCACAGCCAATGTCCCAAAAGGTCAAGACGAGCGACGGCTCGTCCGGCTGCACAACCGCATCGAAGAAGCACGCTTTGGTCGACCCGCCGCTCGGCAGCTTGACAAGGACACGCTGTAGGTGCCACACTTGCAGCGCGTACGACGAGAGCAAATCGAGAACGTTCTGCGCTGCGATCCACGCGTCGGCCGCCTTGGCATCGCCGTCGTTGGTCGTCGTCGCCATGTGGCTTTCCTTGAGCATGTTCGTGGCTTTGGTTTCGAAGTCGTGGAGTACTTCGTTGACGCAGGCTTGGACTGTCTCGGAGAACGTGTCGAGTCCGAGCTGGTAGAGGACTTGGAGCGTGCTTGCAATTGCTGTCTGGTCGGTCGACGACATGCCAATCTTGAGCGTCGTCTTCATTTGCTTGACCAAGTGGGCTCGGAGCTTGCGAAGATGGGGCACTTCGGGGGCCACGAGCGAGAGGCTTTGAAAGCGCGACGCGTCTTGACTCGACTGCAACAAGAGCTCGGCTTCGTAGAGTGCGAGTGACGCTTTGGAGCACGCAGCGTAGTAGTCGGCGTCGTCGGCCGGCGCAGCAAACACGATGGGCGACAGCGCGCGCAGCCCAAGCGCCAGCGTCTGGAAGCGGAGGAGACGCTGGACGATCGAGCTACACGTGTCTACATTGCGCAGCTGCTGGATCGTGCGCGAGAGCACGCGCCGGACCTTTTGCACGTCGTTGTCCATGCGGTCGATTGCATGTTTAACGTCCGTGACGTCGCTGTGCAGTGTCGTGACGTGCTGCTTGAGCCCATCGACGGACCCAACTTGGCGCAGAAGCTCCATGTGCGACGCGCTTACGTACGTTTCGATGGACGAGTCAATGTGCTGGATCGCGACCGATAGCTTTTGCAGAAACTCTTCCGACCCGCTCGAGGCGCTCGCGTCTTTTGTGGGCTTGGCGTCAGATGCGATGATCGCACTCGCGATCTCCGTCACGGGTACCTCGGGCGCGACAAAGACCTTGAGCTCGTCTACACAGCAGCCGTGAGCTCTAGCCCATCGCTATCGGCTACCGTCGGCGCGGAGCTTGGCGACGACGTCCTCCATGGTCAGCGTCATCGTGGCAACAAAATCGTATCCGATTTGACAGTGCAATCTCCAAACCTTTCTAGCTAAATATCTAAATCTATGCAAAATGAGAGGTATGCATTTATACAGAAGGCAATGGCGGTTCAAGCCGACGGACGACCTGAGAGCCGACCCCATCTTGGTCATCGCCACAGAGCACATGCGTTTGTCAAGGCGCCTAACTGCTAGAGATAAAGTACGCAAGAGACTCTCGTACATCAAGTGCTCCGATAAGGTGACTGTGGGTAATGCATCAATCAGCGGCAAACAGCATTCGATGCTTGGACGATATGAACATGATCGTGTTGCTGCTGTGGTCGAGAGTACTTGCAGAGGAATTGATCACGGCGAGTGGCAATGCTATAGATATCAAGGTAGAAAGCTGGCTTACGCGTCCGAGCGCTTCAAGCGGGTATCGCAAATGACGCGGAGCGACTCTTGGGCGCGCTGGTTCCAGAGAAGCGCTTCTTCTTCGGCCTCAAAGAGGTTGCGCGCTTCTTCGTCGCTCGCAAGCTGGAGCTTGGCCATCTCGTCGAGCTGCTCGTCTTCGGTCTTGTCGAGGCCAGGGAGGCTGTCGATGACGTCGTTGGTCTTCTTGGCCGTGAGCAAGAGGTCGCGCGCGAGGCCCTTGACGCGCTCACGCTGCTCCTTGACCTCCTCGGGCGACGCGTCCTTGGCGATCGACGGCAGCAGCCGCAGCGCGTTGAACATGTCGAGCGCCATTTGGTCGACGCATTGCTGCAGCTCCGAGACCTTGTCCATGGCCGCAAACCCTTGGACTCGACTTTTGACCAATCATCGCTCGATGCAGGAATTGTAGCCAATCACACGCGTTATTGAAACCCAGCCAATCCCAGTCCACACTCGGGACACCAACTCACGGCGCGAAAGCTCGCTCGCAGCTCCGCGATGGCGCGTGGTGAAGCGCCCAAGGTACCACGTACTACATAGTAGAGTCCCGTCCACATATTCAAAGCAGAATCTTCCAAGAGCAAAGCCACCTTGGCCACTGCAGCCCCACTGTGTTTACGCAGCCATCCAAGAGTGGCTCGTGACCTCGGACATCACGCTTACTTCCACAGCTTGAAGTACTTCTCTTCACGCCGAGTGGACCCCACCTTTCCTGGCACAGATCCAGATCTATTAGATCTAGACCTAGATCTAGACGGGCCATGGGTCTGACCACAATGTGTGCCACCGCGTTGGTCCTGCCTCGACGAGCAGATCGTGGCCGCGTCTTGCTGGCGTTGATCGGCGGATTTAGGATGATCACCGTCGTCGGTCGCCAGAGCAACTTCAACCGCCGGTATGAAAACCTCCAAGTTCTGATAGTATAAAGTCTCGGGGATGGCCGGTAACTCCTTGCAATCTTCCATACACGGTGGTGACATGGACGAGTTCATCCACTGCTGCGACGTGCTCCTCGTGAATGGCAGCGCGGGGTCCGCGGCCCAGCGAGAGGCGCACGACCGCCTCCTCCGCTTCCAGATGGACCCGACGTCGTGGCAGCTCGTGCTTCGCGTGCTCATGTCCTCGGCCGCCGGCGCGTCGGTCTCGGAGGCGGCGCTTTTCATTGCGGCGCGGCTGCTCCGAAGCGCCATTCCGGTGCTGGACGCACCGGACCAAGTCCATGTGCGCGATAACTTGCTGCAGTTTCTGATCGCCGACCGACCGCGGACGTCGGCGTCGGTGCGTCCTGTCGAGCGGCTCGTGTGCCTCGCGCTCGCGAGCGCCGTCGTCCAGATCCAGCAAGATTGGCCGTCGTGGAAGGAGCGTCTGCACAGCACGCTCTTGGCAAACCAAGCGTCGCCACACGGGCTGCTGCTCTTGCTCGAGGTGCTCGCGGGCATTCCTGGTGAGATCTACTCGCAGTGCTCGCTCGCCGAGTCCGTGCCCCAGGTCGCCACGATGGTCCAAGCCTTTCAGAAGGACGCAATCCACGTGCTGCATCTTGTTCGGGACACGCTCATCTCCATGTACCGTTTGCATATCGCTCGTCGTCTGCAAAGTTGACGTCCCTTGCAGGCCGGATGCTGCGTTCGTCGCGCTCACGTGTCTCCAAAACTGGGGCCACGACGTCATGCCCGTGGTTGAGATTGAGTTTGGGCTCTGCTCGGTCGACTTGAGCGAAGGGTGCGTGCCGCAATGTGGCGCTACGACTACCCTTCCTGTAGGCAGCTCTTTGACCTGCTCATCGATCTCATGATCACGCCCAAACAAGACGTCTCCCAGGTACTTACGTCTCCTCCTCCCACTCCGATGCTCACAGTACGCCCAGCTAGCCGCCGAGATCATTGCCGACACGCTCTCCCACACCAACTCGTCGCCAGCGCTCGGCAACATGTACAGGACCCTCGACATCATCTTGTGCGCTGCGGTGTATAAACATGGAATGACTAGTCCTGCACAGCGCTACGAGCGAGAAGCGACGCTCGTCGTCCGCGTCGCCAAGCGCATTCTCTCGACCAAACCCGTCTTGCTCAACGCGATCCACGCGCTCTCGGCCAAAGAGGCGTCCGAAGACGCGTTCATGGACGACCCGTCGCTCGAGGCTGCCATCACCGTCGCGCGCGGATTGGCCAAAGTCGCGTCAGTCATTGCCTTTGCGCATTCGCACTGCGTGTTTGCCGGCGGCTGGTGCGCGGCGATTCGGCAGGCCGAGGCGTGCGCCCCCGATGTTGTCGAGGTAGACACTGTCGAGGTACTTGACGGGCGCTCTCATGGGCGTAGGCGTACCTCGCGTACCTGGTCCTCTGCACGTCCTTTCCGGACGCGACCGTGACGGAAGAGACGCTCGAGTTTTGGTTCTTTGTGTTTGAGATGAAGAAGCGCTGGAACGACATTCCGTCGCTCTCGTCGTGGAGTGACTTTGTACCGACGGCGCTTCCCGTTGTGCAAGAGGTCGTCGTGCTTCTTATTCTCAAGTGCCAGTACCCGCCGTGGTTTTTCACGACCAAGAGCCTCACGTCCGACCACCCGGCCATCGACGCGACACGGGACCTCCGCCGGTGCGCGTCTCGTCCGTGGAGCTCGAGCCCAATGTCTCTGGGCGCGTAGATACATTGGCGACACCCTCCTCAACATCTTTGCCAATTGGCCGGATGTGGACGGCCGGCTCGGCAGCTACGTGTGCTTGGAGACCGTGGTCGGCCTCATGACGACCTCCAACGACCTTCCGCAAGTCGACGCGCTCCTCTTCGTGCTCGACTACATGGTGGAGCTCTTTGATTTTGACGACGTGGACACCGAGAGCGACGGCTTGTTCAACGCCGTGCAAACGCTCTGGGAGTCGGCGCTCGCGGTGTTTCCTTCGTTCCCAGACCACCCGCTGCTCATGCAAGGCATGTGCCGGTACAGCCATTTGTGTTTTGATCGTCGCGGCACATGTGACGTAGGCTCATCAGCTCGCTCGTCGTTTCGATGCAGTTTGACGATACGTACTACCAACTGGTCACGAGCGTGCTCGCCAAGGGCCTTGCGTCGCCGGTCGTGTGCGCGCCGGCCGCCAAGGCGCTTCTCAAACTCAACAACGCACTCACGTAGTCGTCTGCGTGCCATCTTGCTGAATACAGGAGATGCTATGTAGGAAATCCAAGGCCACGCCGGCGACAAAAGCCGCGTGCATCCAGCTGCTCTTGAGCGCCATCGACCGTCCAGACGTCCTCGCCACGCTCTTTGCCGCCGCGCCCGCGTACGGAGACTTCTTGGAGGCGCTCCTGCGCCTTGGCATGGGCTTTTCCGAGACTGGTACGTCTCTGTCCATACGTCGAAAGTCGGCGACGTTGGATTAGACTACATGGCGGTCATCAACTGCGCGTTTCCGCGCATCCTCAGTGCCCTTCGTCAAATGACAAGAGAGTCGAATGCTCTCGAAGTCGAGGCCGTGCTCTACCTCTTGTCGCGCGGCCTCCACGGCATCCGCCAAGCCAGCATGCGCGACGCCTTCGTTGTCGAGCACTGGCCGCTCATCCGGCACATTACGATCGACCTCTTTGCGCACAGCGGGCGCGTCCGGGAGCTCGCCATCCAAGTGTTTACATCGATCCTCCCGGCGTCGAGCCGCAACGACGTTGTCCTCGACATTCTCGAGACGTGCGTCCGATGGCATCGCGCGTACGCGGCGCCCTATGTGCTCAAATGCATCGGCACGTTCGCGCAGTCGTGCCCGCCGAGCCTCACGCCGCATTTGGCCTCCGTGTTCGACGTACGACGCCTTGGTTCCATGACGTTGTCGTCCTCAAGCGCTATGTAGAACATCTTTCAGTCGCTTTCGGAGAAGCTCCAGTACGACCTCAGCGCGCCGCTCGAGGCGATGCAACGTCATATGCTCGAGCGCTTCAAGGTCGCCAAAGACGACTTGGGCGCCGAGACTACGCTGTACTTTCAAATGCTACGTGACGCGCTCGCGACGCTGCCCGACTTGGTGGGTCGACCGCCCCTCTTTCTCGAGGTCCTCAAGCTAGCGTGCGTCCTCTTCTCGATCGAACACCAGCTTCCAGATGTGACGGACGCGCTCTGCAGCTTCTTCATCGACGCGCTCAGCACCGACGCTGTCGACGTCGACGCCTTCAAGATGATTGCGTCCGTCCTCGTCGACACGATGCTCCGGCTCCTCGCCGCGACGCCGATCTCATCCAAGAAGCGCGGTCTCCTCAACCTCCTGTACCAAGCGCTGCAGGCCGCGAACACCCGCATCGCCATCCGAGGTACATTTTCGTTATCTTAAGGATAGATGGATACGTATATGCTGGTGCGTAGAGGCATTTGGCGCGGCGCTGCACCACGCACTCGTGGTGACGCGCGTCTTTCCGTCCGTGGCACCGGCCGATGCGCTCCTGCTGTCGCAGATGCTCCTCGGTACGCGCGAGAAGCGCAAGTTTCAAGTGCTTGCGACAACCACCGCGACGTACTTGCAGGGTCTCGGGGCCGCGCCGTGGCTCACACCGACGCTGCACGTCACCAGCCCCCGTAGCCCGACGCCCTTGGCGCTCAACGAGTTCATCGACGTCATGAACTAAGACGCCGCGTTGTCTACTACACTACGATCACCGAGATGCCACACTTCGATCCCAGAGAGGCGACTAAGATCACACAGATAATGTACTAATTCAGGTCCAAGCATTTGAAGCGCGACGAGAGGAGGTGGTTGACGCGCACTTCGTTCTCGGTCGATCGCTTCATAAAGACCGCATAGTCGTGGCTCGCGCTGCTCGGCGGCGTGTCGAGTGCCACTTGCGAGTAGCCGCGTAGCCGGCACGTTCCCGGCGCATTCGGCATCGGCTCAAAGCACCACCACGTTGCCACGTGTTCGGCGATCTTGTGCTGCAGCGTCTCGTCGTAGAGGATGCTGCGGTGCATGAGGAAGACGCGGTCGCCGTCGTTGACGAGCTGCATGCAGATGCGCCGCCGGATGCCGCCCCACGGAAAGGTCGCAAGCACCACGTCCTTGCCGTAAAAATGGGCCTACATCGCAAGTGAGCGCGGGACTCGAGAGAGATGGACGCACAACAGGAAGTACCTCGCGGCCTTCGCCCGTCGTCGTCGAGAAGGCGTCGTAGATGGTCCGTGCAATGTCCGCGTAATGGCCCTCGATGACGCCGTACTTGCGCTGCTCGAGGAACGCAATGTGTTGGTTGGTGTCATCGAGCACAAAGTTGAACATGCCGACGGAGGACGACGACGCAAAGCGGCTAAAGAGGTCCGGCGTCACTTTTTCCCGCTGGAATTCAGCGAGCGCGAGCACGTGTTGGTCGCGGTGCATGTTTGAGAGCGTGTGCAGCTGCCATGGATCCCGCTTCGGATCGATGATCATCTACTCATGCAAGGTCGAAATAAGACCAAGGCGATGGAAAGAGGAGGTCGACGTACGTCGCCTTCGTAGCGACGCCACGAGAGGCTCTTGAAGAGCACGGCCTTCTCGACCTGCTCGACGACTTGGTTGAAGAGCGACGTGCGCGTCGCAATGGCCTCCTGCACCCGGCCCCGCTCGACAAGTGCGTTCGACTTGCACTCGGACATGGTGCTCGACTTGCGCTTGCGCTCGGCTTGCGCAGCCGAGAGCGTCTCGAGCAACGTCGTCGCGTTCTGCTTGAGCTCGTCAATCTCGGACTGGAACTTTTCCTTGCTCTGCTGCTTGCGAATGCGGTCCTTGAGGAGTCGCTCTTCGCGCTGCGATGGCGTCTCGTTGAGCTGCGCGAGCGACTTTTTGCGGCGCCGTTTGCAGCACGCTGACGTTGGCGCGGTCTTGGTCATGGGCGAGAGGAGGCTCATCATGAGCCCGGCTCCGGTTGCGTCTGCGAAGCGCTGCCGCTCGTCATGGACCTTGGGCCCGCGCGTCGGGCTCGAGATGATATCGTAGAGCATTGCCGCGTCGGCGGCCGAGATGTCGCCGAGCTGCTCGGCCATGGGAGAGGGCAATATCGAAAATAGCTGCTGTCGCATCTAAATATGTGGCATCCGGATGTTTAGTCGCGTTACAGGGCTGGCGGTAGGGCAGTCTGATTTGGGTGCACCTGGTCAAGGTGACCGAATTGCATCTGCTTGCAGTACCTGCCCTCTGTGTACTACACGTATACAGTACGAGGCCTGGGACATCATGGATCGCCAGCTAGAATAGCCGGAGTGCTGGCTTGTGTACCGGTACCGCGGTACCGCGTATCGACGAGACATGCCAGTGTGATCGCGTTGCATCTCGTCGGCTGCAACAGCCTGTGCCGTGCCACGGTGGCCAGAACGTGTTTGGTATACCCTGGCGGGACCGTCGCAAGCCACTGTGGGCGTTCCGAAGCCGGAGGTTCCTTCCGAAGTCGTCAGCAATTGGCCCCTGGTATGACCAGGTTTTACAGCGACCGAGACAGCTTGTCTTGCGGATCACATACGCGCTGCATCCTATTCCTTCCTGTCCGACCGAATGAAGTCGCGCGGGCTGGCGACAGTCTCAATAGCACAGAGAAATAATCCGCGGTGCTTCTTCCTTGAGGTTAGCGAGGGATCCATTGCACGACGTTTATATGAGTTCTTGCTAGCGTCATGAAGACGATGGTACCTGCATGATATCCCCCTGCTCTGGATCCTGCAACTTGAGGAAGCATGGATCACGATCGTCCGTCGCATGGTGTTTGTCGAAATGACTCATGTTGGATCCTTCAACTTGCCTTGCCGCTGGGCTAGGCTATCACTCGCCCACGGCGCGTGATGCCGCGAGGAATAATCTCCGTTGGCCACGTCATCGGTCCACAACATAGAGCTCCAACGCAACCGTGATCAACGTATACGTTCGACCTGTCATCGCTACATGCGTCCGCTGCGTCGTCGCGCACAGTAGGACACAACGCATCACCGAACGAAGCAAGAGGCTGGCGTATTACACGACGCGTTCTCTTCAGTTTTGCGACGAGAATGCTGTTTCTTTGTCATCTTAGACCTTCGTACGAGACCAGGCGACCAGAATAATGATTTCTTAGTCTTCTTCTTAGCGTCTCAGTCGACAACACACGGGCGTGGTGCGGACGGCCACTCCATGGACGAGATGCGGTACAGCGCCCAGGCCAGGAACCTACCACAAGGAAGTACATTGTATGCTGGTACTATTTGATCATTAAGCAGTGGAAGCGGGCGGCAAGGTACCGGTTCGTCCATTCCTCGTTCTCGACCGTCCGTCGCATGAAGAGCCCGTAGTCTTTGCTCGAATTGGCCGGCGTCGTCGCGACGGAGCACTGGTCGTAGTTGCGCAGCGTGCACATGGGCAGCCCAGACGGCGTGTCGGGCATGCGCTCAAAGACCCACCACGAGGCCACGTGCTCGGGCACGTTGTGTTGCAGCGTCTCGTCGTAGAGGATGCTCCGATGCATGAGGAAGACGCGGTCGCCGTCGACAACGCGCTGGAGACACAGCCGCCGCACGACGCCGCCCCACGGAAACGACGAGATGACGAGGTCGTCGCCAAAAAACTCGACCTAGCGTCATCCATATATGAGCGCCACCGACGATGGAAGAGGTTCGTACCGAACGATTCTCGCCAGACGTGGACGCGAGGCCGTTAAATATGGAGTTGGCGAGTGCGCGATAGTCAGCCTGGAAGACGGCGTACTTGCGGACCTCCATGTACGCAATGTCTTGGCCTCGCTCGTCGAGCACGAGGTTGATCATGTCTTCGGTAGCGGACCGCGGAAACTTGCTGAATAAGGTCGGCGTCAGCTTCTGCGACTGGTACTGTGCGATCGCGCGAATATGCTGGGCGCGCTGGACCGGGTTCGAGGCGAGCGTGTGCATCTGCCACGGATCTCGCTTCGGGTCAATGATCATCTACACGGCGCGTATGAGTAAACTGGGACTTTGAAAAAGGAGGAGGACCTCGCCCTCGGCCTGTCGCCACGTCATGTTTTTGTACAGAACGGCCTTCTCGATGAGGTGGACGACTTCGTTGAAGAGCGTGTTGCGCGTCTGCATCGCGTGGGCAAAGCGCTGCTTCTCGTCGAGTGCCCGTACCTTCCACGCCGCATCGTGCACGATTGCGCGCTTCCGATGATGCGCCAGCACGAGCTGCTGCTCGAGCACGCCGACGGTTTGCTGGAGGTCATCAATCTCGGTCTGAAAACGCTCCTTGCTGTGCTGCTTGCGCAGGCGGTCCTTGAGGAGCCGCTGCTCGCGCTGTACCGGCGTCTCGTTGAGCTGCGCGGCCGACTTGCGCCGCTTGCGCTTCCGCGTCGGCTTGACCTTGGCCGGCATCTTGGTGCTAGGACGCATCGAGCCGTCCGTGGACGACGACCTCGGGCTGCTGATGATGTCGCGGAGCATCGAGGCCTCTTCCTCCGAGATGCTGCTGAACATCGGTCGTCGCTCGGCCATGAATGTGAAAAATGTCAACTAACGGCGTATCCGGCGGTAATCGGGATTTCAAACGTCCGTATAAATGGCGCCCTGTCTAATCTTGACGGACTCCGCGACACAAGTGATCACGTCGTCGACCTGCTGGGTCTTCTCTGGATGCAGGATTCCGCAGCGCGATGCCTCTTCAGGCTATCACAGCTCTCGAGGCTGCGCTGCCATCGAAAGACGCAGCCGACACAAACGATTACTGTACCGGAACACACCACGTGCAAACTGGGTATTCCAAGCACTGTCGGTTCGCCAAGCGGTTGCGTGGCAGAGGCTGTAGCTGGCAGAGGTCGCTGGCAAGCGGCGACAAGCCGTCCACGACCGCTGCGCGGCAGCTTGCGGCGGCTTGCGGCGAGGAGGCCACTTTTCTCCGACGGCGCGCGTTCGATCGCACCCATAACTTCGAATTCAATCAATGGTGCAGTTGGTTATGGGTGTGATGATGCTGGCAATTGTTCGGCAACAACCCATCGGTGACGACGGAGGACGCTTGTTGCACTCACCGACCCCTTCTATACTAACGTTATGGGTGTTTCGCGCCTGCAAGGAGTCGAAACGGACTTTTCAAGAGAAGGCGGCTCGGCGAAACCAACGACTGGTCGGCAGAGCCTAGCATTCTAGTTTTCGCTCTCCGCTAAGCAACCCGCCACGCCTCACCCGAGGTGCAGCGGTAATGCAGGCCTCGCGCCCTTTTTCCCCCTGAGCGAAAAGCCACGTGAAAGATGAGCTCGCGCTGTGTGGTCGGTGCCGACAAACGTGGGGCACCGTCCGTGCTCGAGCGAGGTCATGGAGGACGGAATGCCATCGCGCGCGTGCGTCCGAACTCGCTCCGAACTCGCTCTGTACGATCCATGAACGCTTACCACCTCACAAGGCAGCCCCTTCCAATATATCCTGCATTCGTGGGCAAGCGACATAATACAGGATCAGGTTGCAGTCGCAAGCCTGTGACGTGACGTCGTCGTGCAGCGAAGCTAGACGCGAGCATGCGACGATAGACCACACACGACGTGTACCGGTAGCCGGCCAAGGTGGGCACTTTGGTGGGCTCTTGATTCCCTCTGTCGTTGGAGTCAAGCATTCGACCGAGGAGGACGAAGTTCAGGCACGCATTTCTGAGCGTCAAGCGCGAGGCGCGAGGTGACGAGACTGCTGCGATATTGTTGCATTCTCCACTGACGACACGTTGTTGCCATCGATGGAAGCTGGAGATGCACAGCCTTTCTTGCACGGCTTCTGTTGGCACTTCAACACAGGCGGGTGCATTCTGGAAACAGTGCATCATTGCGTTCCAGTGTTTGCCACGATGACACGCTGGACGTTGCCATAACAACCGTTATAACAATTTATGATGCTGTTACGTAGAAGCGTCTGAGTACCGAAGTTCGAAGCTGAGCATGGTCGAGTGAGCAGATGCCATTTGCCGTTGGTGATTTGGCCATCGCCTCGCGCCGCCGCCCGACTGATTGTGCTGTGTGACACGATCGCATTGAGCCTCCTGCCATGGTGATCACAGTGGCCAAAGCTGCGCTGCCAGAAGATCTCGCGCTGATGTCCCACGACTATGAGAAGCTGCGCCCGCCGCACGACGCTCGCCCGGCGATGGCAGAGCCGTCCAAGGCAGTCTCACCCGACCGCGAAGAGCGCTTGCGCAAAGACCGGCTCCGGAAGCGCTTGAGCAAGGAAAAGTTCCAGAACGAGCTCAACCATCTCCATCGCACGGCCATTGCGCTCGAATACCAGCTCAGTGCGGTGCAAAAGAAGCGGCTCGTCGATGCCGAGACCAACGCGCGGTGGAGGCAGCGCGCCATCGAGGAGAAGGCGCGGCTCCGCGACGCCTACGCAACAGGACAAGCGCTCTATCGCGAGCTCGTGAGCCAAATGGAGAAAGCCGTCATCTTCAAGAGCATTTGTGGGCCCACGTCCGATACGATGGTATGGGCATCCCATGCATTGAGGTCTCTGCATGCGCTCATGCAGTGCGTACATAGATGTTCCTCGACCCACGCCGTGACCCATGGAGCCTTCACACACTCTGCAAGGACCCGGACCAGCAAGAGCACACGCTGCGAAGTATCGCCCTGTACCAGTCGTGCAAGATCACCCCCGAGCTTTTCGCGAAGCTCCCCGGGCCGCGCGATGGCAGCTACAACCTTGTGCTCGACGAGACCGACCAGCATGTCTCGTACGTCGAGCTCTTCAAGCACGGGACCTTTGCGGCACATCACGAAGATATCGCCCGGGCGCTGCACCGCTACTGCTTGACCGCCCACGAAGGCAAGCAGGTACACCCTGCGTAAGGGTAAAGGTCGAGCTTCACCATGCTCTTGTAGGTTCGCTGTGTTGACGGCACGCTGGCACTGACCGTGTTTACGGACAAGCGGCGGCATTACGTCGTCAACTTGGTGCGCGAGAGCGATCAGCGCATGATTCTCACACATCGCACGTTGATTTACGACGACGTGAACGGCCGCATGGCGCACGAGAGCATTGCGGGGTGGTGGGTCTGTGAACGGCTGCCCAGCCTGGACGGCCATACGCCCCGTAGTGCGATGCGTTGCTACGCGCAAGCTTGCATCGATGTCAACACGGAGCTCTCGGTCCAAGCCTACACCTCGTATTTGGTCAATGCGGCGAAAGAGGACGTTGGCATGAACCAAGCGCTGGCCCAGTTCCACATCCTCTCTCTTACATAATCTAAGCGCTACTTGGTAATATTTATATACACTAGACGACATTCCTACTCTTCGCACACCGTTCACGCCCGTGTGGGCGAGTTATAGTACATCACAACCAAGAGGTTAGGGTCGACCTTCATTCCTCGCATCTCGACGGTTCGGGCAGTTGAGAATTGACTCGGCTAACGTTAGGCCACCTCGTGGCATTGTGGCATTGAGGAAATTTCAGGGCAAGAGAGAGAGATGCGAATTCATCTTGTTCGGTAAGGTGACTCTCCGTCCGTCGTTTGCGCAGGCTCCCATTTGGTTGCTTGGTTTGTCCACAAGGTTTCATTGAACGTGCGCTTGGATGCCAGCTGAGCGGTAAAATCCGGAATATACATGCATAAAGAACTTGAAAATCATTCGCTGCGGTAGAGAAGCTCAAAAATAAATGCATTTTAGGCGCAGAGCTTAAATTGCCAAGCGCGTCAACTTTCGATGGACGTCGGTCCGGATACAGCATACTGAAATCAAATGCAAGCGGAATGTCCGGATAAGGAAGCGCACTACTGGCCAGCAAGCCATTCGCATTGCTCAACCCTTCTCGAAAGAATATGGCCCAAGCTGTCGCTGTCGCTCTTAAAGCCCTCAACCAACTCGCCTTCGCCGGCGCCGCCGTCGCTGGCGCTGCCTTCGTCGCCGACAAGTGCATCATTGATGGTACGTTGATCCGCCGTGGCCGTACTTGCGGCGTCAATCCGAGGCGAAATGCTCATCTTGGCGCAATGTTCTAGTCGATGGCGGTGAGCGCGCTGTGATCTTCAACCGCTTCAAGGGTCTTTTGCCCATCAGCAAGGGCGAGGGCTCGCACTTCATCATTCCGTTCGTCGAGGTGCGCCTCGTGCAAGCGCTTGTGCCATCATGCTCATGCTACGTTATGTAGGAACCCACGATCATCGATGTCCGCACGAAGGCCCACGAAATCCCGTGCAGCACGGGTACGAAGGACTTGCAGACAGTCAACATCCGCCTGCGTGTGATGTCGCACCCTGATGTCGACCACCTCCCGACGATCTACAAGGAGCTCGGCACGGAGTACAACGAGCGTATCTTGCCCTCGATCGGCAACGAAGTCCTCAAGGGCGTTGTCGTACGTACTTTTTCTCAGTGCATTTGCATGGCACTCATCCACTGCTTTGTGTAGGCGCAATTCAACGCCGACCAGCTCTTGACGTCGCGTGAGAAGGTCTCGGGTCAGATTTCGGAGGAGCTCGCTGCCCGCGCGGCGCAGTTCAACCTCAAGTTGGACGATGTGGCCATTACGCACTTGACGTACGGCAAGGAGTTCACGGAGGCCGTCGAGCAGAAGCAGGTCGCCTTCCAGGAAGCCGAGCGCTCCAAGTTTGTTGTCATGAAGGCCGAGCAGGAGCGTCAGGCCGCCATCATCCGCGCCGAGGGTGAATCCGAGGCCGCCAAGTTGGTCTCGGAGGCTGTTGCCAAGAGCGGCTCAGGCTTCATTGAAGTCCAGCGTATCGACGCCGCCAAGGAAATCGCCGAGGCCCTCTCCAAGTCGCGCAACGTGTCGTACCTCCCCAACAGCAACGGCGGTGGCATCTTGCTCGGCTTGAACACCGAGTAAACGCAGGAGTAGATGAAAAACCAAGGCTTGTTCAAAGTAGTCGTAATACACAGTCCCCTTTTGACAGTCTTATGATGCCACGGCTCCCTTGTCAGCGCCACTGACATCCTCCGGTCGCATCAAGCCATGCCAGGGCTGTCGCCGTGCATTGACCACATGCTCAAGCTGCAACCGACAACCAAAGGAGGCACGTAGATAATTCATGAATAACAATCGTTTAGTAGTAGTAGTTTCACACGGTCGGTTCTCGCGGCTTAGTTGGCGGCGGGCTGGTTCTGGGCCTGGGCGAGCGCCTGCTGCGCCTCCCATTCCTTCTGCCGCACGACGTTGCGCGTGTACATGACGTTGAAGCCGCGCGTGATGTCGTAGAGGCCAAAGGCCGTCGCGCCGAGGAGGCCCGTGACCACAGCCTTGTGCACGACGTCGAGTACCTTGCTGCCGGCCATTGCTTCGTCAGTGGAGTTTTTTTATGGCGAAACTCGGCGAAGTACCAAGTGGCCGCCCGTCGTTTTCATTGGTCAAAAAGCGTCGCGACGGCGCGACAGCCCATTGGCTGTTTTTTGTAACGCGCGTGTTTTTTCCACATCCCTCTAACAATCGATATTCAACCGCATGCGATACTAGAGGTTTTTGACTGCTGCCAGAAGATCGCCCGCGCTGACGACGTCGGCGGCCTTCGACGCGCCCCGCCTCGTTGCAAACCATCCGTGAATCAAGAGAACCAGAGTCTGGTGCGCCTTTTCGTCGCTAAATAACGCGTTTTACGCAGGGTTGGCCCGGCCCACGACGCGTTGCACTTGCTTGCAACGTGCACTTTTACGCGCCAAACACCACCCACGACCAGCGACGCTTTCCACGCTCTTAATTATGTGCTCTATAATCAAAAGACAATATAACACGCTTCTCATGATTTAACTTGGGACATGGTTCCATAGTAGGACGGGCGCTTTGTGGCGTTCCGCGGTTGCTTCGTCTCGGGCACCGTCGAGAGCATTGCCGCGGTGACGTCAATGTGCTCGGTGGACTTGCGCGTCGAGTAGACAACGAGCAGCGTCCCGAGGATGACCGTCAAACCGCCAACGATCGTGAGCGCATGCGGCACATCGGCCGTGCCCGAGAGCAGCGAGAAGAGCGTCGCCACGATAGGCTCCAGGAGCATCGTCACCGAGATCACGAGCGGCGGAAAGTACCGCATCGCACTGATGAAACCCATTGTGCCGAGACCCGAGCAAACGACAACGATGAGGACCTCGGTGCCAAAGTGGTGGACCCACCCAAAGAGGCCAATCCGTGGGTCGGTTGAGACGTCAAACTCGACGCCGAGTGCGCACAGCAGCGGTAAAATGAGCACCCACGCAGTGGTAAAGAGGTAGGCAACAAAGACCCACACGCCGAGCTTCTCGCGCAAGACTTTGGCATTCACGAGGTAGAAGACGCCACCGATAGCGCCCGCAAGCGCGACCACATCGCCACGCAGCGTCGGCTCGATCACTCTCGACAGCGAAGTTGGCGACGACGCGGCGTCGCTGTCCATGGTGGTGAGCGCGCCGCCGAGCGCACCGAGAATGGCGCCGGACGACTCGAGCGCCGCGACGGGCTGCCCGAGAAAGCACTTGCCAAAGACGATGAGCACCGAGTGGCAATTGCTAAAGATGTAGGCGTGGCCCACCGACGTGTGGTCGAGCGCCCAAAAGAACGTGGCGTTGTACGTCAAGTACGAGAGAATGCATACGATGGCCTCGAAGAGAGCTTGACGCGGCGACGGCAGCGTCGGCCAGCCGTCGTGGACGACCGAGATGACCGCGAGGATGCTAAAGACGATGGACGAGCCAAACGCGCGCCAAAACATCTTGAGAAAGGGCGAGATGCCGCTGAGTGTTTGAAGCGCGGCGCCTTGGGCCGAGACACTGAGTAGCGCGGTGAGGAGGATGAGGTACCCGATACGTGGGACCTGCTTTTGCACTGTGAGTCGCACGGCGATCGCCCCGTCGCCTGTCGTCGCTTCGAGAGCCACGTCGACAACGTCGGATGGGAGTTGGGAGCGCCGCCGCATGGGCCCGTCGGGCACAGCCAGCACAAAATTCGATGCCGTCGACTGCTGAATCAAGAACGCGCTCTTTGAAGGACTTGATGTCGTTGGCGACGCTACCTCCGGCAGCGGAATCGATACCGAGAGCTCGTTGTGTGGTGATGACGTGACGTGAGTGGCCAGCGCGCACTCGTGGACCTTGAGGCTCAGGCGCGGGAGAAGCGGCGACGTGGCCGTGACGCGCGTCGTAGGCACGTCGACGACAAAGCCTTGGAAGGCCCCACGCGCTGTCTCGGACGCGTGCGACGACGGTGAGCTGCCGACGGAGAGGAGAACGCTCTTGCGCGGCTTTTGAGGCGAGAGGAGCGCGGGAAATGTAAACGGCGAGAGCGTCGCCGCGAGGTTGAATTCGACCGCGTGCAGCAGCTCGTCGTCCGAGTCGACGCCAAACCAGTTACAATGCTCGGTCGTGGGCATGACTTTGAGGCTGCGAAAGCCAAAGGCAAGCGCCTCGGGCAGCGAGAGCGCGCCAGCACCGTGGAGAAGGTTCTCGAGCACCACAAAGATCTTTGGTGAGACTATGTAGAGCCCTGCATCAACCCCGTTGTAGGACGCCAAGTCCCGGCCAATGCGAACGTTGGTGCTGCCGTTGGCCCGCGGCGACGCCACTTGCACGCGCACCTACAGCAACGCAATCAGATGACGGCAAAACCCACGCAGTGTACGGTGGTCGAATGCATGCGCTGGGCCATGTCCATGCGCGTCTCGGAGAGCATGCAAACGCTGTGCGTTGTCTGATAGAACGCAAGAAAGCGCTCGATCACGTCTTTGTCAAAGACGCGGTCGGGGGCGTGTATGAGGAACGGACCGGACAAGAGGTGTCGGCCCGCCAGAATGGTCTCGGGCACCGACTCGAGCACGGATGGCGGGAGCTCGAGGTACTCGAGGTGCAAACACGCAGCGACGGGCGACTGCTCCACGTGTGCGCGGACCTCAGGCTGGTTGGCAGAAACGGCGAGCACAACACGCGTGATACCTGCCAGCAGGAGCTGCGACAGCGCGTGCTCCAGTATCGTTCGCCGCTGTAGTTGCTGCAGAGCGTAGGGGACGCCGTAGAAGGTCGTCTTGCCCGACGTGAGCACGTAGGCCGCCAGTGCCGAGGCACCGGTCCAGTCGCCGTCTGCCTCGCTCTCCAGCACGACGGCTTGCAGCGTCGAATGTCGGTCGCCACGAATCCCGTCGACGAGCTCGTCGTACGAGATGCCTGCGAGCGAGCTCGCGCGCTCGAGGTCCACGGCGAAGACCGTCGCGTCCATAGCCACTCGGTTCGAAAAAGTGGCAGCTCGGAAATGGGCATCCATTCGCGCACCAATCAGATGCGAGAACGCCCGATCCAAACGGCGCGAGGAGGCGCGCCTCAGGATGTGGCGAGATTGCGATGTGGACAACTGGAAATCGAATCCAGATTTTTGACCAACTTTGTTTCTTGTATAAAGACAGTGGATGGCGTTGCAGGGGTCTATAAGCTCGACCCGTAGAGAGATTTTGGCGCCAGCCTCATTTTGGTTATCACACCCGCAAAGTGATCCTGGCACGTAAGAGTCGCTAACACGAGCCAAACTTGTTGTGCCACGTCTCGTACTTACGTAGAAACTGGTGTGCGGACGGCTTGGTCTTTTCCAGCGCGAGCTGAATGTCGTGCGGCTGGACCTTGTCGAGCAGACCTTGCCAGTTGTCTAACCCGAGTTATAACATCGTACCCAACGCTTTGCGCCCGTCTACCGTGTTGTTCGTGACGCGTTTGGTTGCTCCCCCCGCTGGCTTCCATGGTCTCGAGCTTGTCCATGAGCCGGCGCACGGGGGCCATGCACGCTTCTTTGGCAACGAGCTTGATGTCGGCGCCCGAGTAGCCCTACACGCAGCAGCACACTAGGTTCCAGTATGCCTCGCACTTTGCAAAGTACCTCCGTGCGAGACACCGTGTCGCTAAAGTCAAACTGTGGCGCAATGTACGGCGCCAAAAGCTCTTGAAACATACTTGCGCGCGCTTCGGCCGATGGGAGCCCAACCAAGACGCGCTTCTCGAGGCGCCGAAGCATCGCTGCGTCCAGTTCCCACGGTAAATTGCTTGCTGCGAGGACGAACACGACTTCGCTCGACTTGGCAAGACCATCCATCTGCGTTCGCTTTCACATGTTGTGTTCGAAGCCTTTCGTACCTGGATGAGGAGCTCTGTCTTCATGCGCCGGCTAGCTTCGTGCTCTTGCCCGCCGCTGGACTCGCCGCGCTGACCCATGATCGAGTCGATTTCGTCGAGAAAAATCGTCGACGGCGCATGATACCTAATCGGGTGTGATCTTAGAGGTAGAAGAAGGAACATGACGCACCGCGCGAGCTCAAAGAGCATGCGCACGAGCTTCTCCGAGTCGCCGCGGTACTTGCTCACGATCGACGAGCCCGATATGTTGAAGAAGGTCGTTTTGCACTCGGTCGCGACGGCTTTCGCCAGCATCGTCTTGCCGTTGCCCGGCGGGCCGTAGAGCAGAATACCGCACCTGCCTCGAATTATCAATTTAGTATCAAGTGGGGTCAATACCAGGGCGAGAGAAGGCCTTTAAAGAGCTGTGGGTATCGGATCGGCATGACCACCGCTTCCTTCAAAAGTCGCTTGGCGTCGGTGAGCCCCACCACATTGTCCCAGTGCACATTCGGGTTTTTCTGGAAAATCTCTCTACAAGCGACAATATATCGCAAATGGCAACAAGAGACGTACCGTGTGATGGTCTCGGCAAGCGGACGCAGCTCCGAGTCGTGCATAAAAGGCAGTGGTTTGAGAAGCCTAGATAGTTGCGTGCATGTATAGTATGGTGCGCCACACCACGCGCCTACCGGTCCTCCACAGAGTCTTCGTCCTCTTCGTCCGGCTTGGTGTCCTACGCCATCCATAACACCATAGCGCTGGAGGTTCGGCGCACGTTGGACTTCTTTATCGACTTGGTTGTACGCTGTGCCGGCTTCTGGCCCACCAAACCCAACGACGCAATGTTCTCCGGACTCGCTTCTTCCACTGCTACGTAGCGTCGACACTTTTGTTCGTCTCTCAAGGCTAATTTGACTACCTGGCTTGCCGCTCCTACAGAGTTGCATGTAAGGTATTTTGCATGGCGCGATCAGCGAGGTCATACGTGGTCGAGGACGCGCCAATGCAGTTGGAGACGGCTTTGAGCGCTGCGTTGTTCTCGACGCGCGCTTCGGTCGGCATATGTGGCGACGAGTAGCTGTTGCGCTTATTGCGCTTCTCGAGCGCCGCCTTCTTCTCGTTAAAGTGCGTGGCCTTGGCCTTCTCCTCGTCGCCGGTCGTGCGGCGTACGAGCTTTGGTTTCTTGGCAAATTTGAGCTCGTAAAAGTCTTCAAACTCCTAAACGCCGCATTCTTCGCACTGCAACAAAAGGACGTTTGTACTTGAACAATACGGAGCAAGTCAATGTTGTCGACCACCTCAAACTTGGAGAGCGCAATGCCGGCTTCTTGCTGGAGCTTCTCGGCGGTTTGGAGGTACCCGTTCTCGGTGCAGTACTGCAGCATGAGCACGAGCACATTCCGCTTCCTATCAATCGCCGTCTTCTCCACCTACGGGTCGTAGAACCACAGGACTCTCGACGTCGATGGCACCTACCGCCAAGCGGCTATCGTTCTGCGCCTTGAGCTGCAGCAGCGTCGACATAGCGTTGCGCCGTTTCGTAAGTTTAGGATTAAAAAATACAACTCTAAGATAGCACTACAGGACGAAGCGCTTGGGGTCAAATGGCTCGAGGTCGACGCTCGTGGCTTTGCCATTCAAAAGGAGCTCGGCCATGGCGAGGCCCGACCCCGTCGCATTCAGGAGGCCCCAGCAGCTGTGGCCCGACGAGACGTAGACGCCGTCTCGGAGCTTGCCCATGATGGGCGTGTAATCTTTTGTCTGCGGCAGATAGCACGCGTTCGTGGCTTGGATCGAGTTGTGGCTGTGGGTGCGACCGCTAAACTTGGAGAGGCCGTGCAGAATCTCGGCGATGGACGCGGCGTCCGGGACCACGTTTGCGGCGCTGGACGGGAGCGGCTGCGGCACGTGCGCGCCACAGACAAACGCCGTGCCGTTCGCGCGCGGTACAATCTCGAGCTCGTCTTCGCTGTTGGCGACGATGCCAAAGACCACGCGTGGGTCCCATGACGGCGTGTCGTCATCGCGCACAATGACGCTATGGATCTTGTGTGTCTGCGGCGGACTAATGTTGGGGTAGTCGCACTCGACCGAGAGAAGCTTTGGCGTCCACGGCCCCATCGCAAGCACGACTGCGTCCGCGTCGAGTCGGCGACCGTCGCTAAGGAGCACGTTGGCGCCATCGAGCGTCTGGACGCGGCCCTGGAGAAAGGTGCACTTGCCTGTCGACATGGCGCGGTCCATCATAAACTCGGTAAAGTCGCGAGGGTAGAGCTGCGCCATGGTCACATGCTCCGGGTCGGTTGTGCCCATTGGTGACGCCTTGAGCACGCTGCTGTCGGTGATCCAATTGGGCACAACGGCCGACTTGATGGCGATGTTGGCCTTGGGTTTCTTTGTCGACGGGTGGGGCTTGACGACACATGAGATGGCATCCACGACGCGGTAGCCGTAGTACAGAGCGCCGTCGTGCTTGGCAGCGAGCTCTTGATGGAGGCGGAAGCTCAGCCGACAGAGTTCATCGACATCTTCACCTTGGCACCAATCGGCCGCGAGGAAGCCGCCAGCCTTGCCGGAGGCCGCAGCCGCGACACCGATCTCGTCAACAACGACGACTTCAACGTCATCATTGGCGTCGCGGTTGGCGTGCGTGAGGAAGTAGGCGAGCGTGCAGCCGACAGCACCACCGCCACAGACGACAACCTTCATGGAGCTCGTCGGGCGCAAATCTTGATCTGACGACAAGTTCGCAAGAAATTAGTGTGTCCCACTCTTGTGCTGGACTTTTAAACGGGACGCGTTGACGTCCCACCCATACACTATATAACATATCTAGAATAGTGTCACGTGCCAGACCCGAAACCGGGCAGCGCGTCAACGCGATGCAAAGCCGACCATGGACAAAATGGACATCTCTCATGTCAATAGCACCGTGGCGGTGCACGGTCGCGGGCTGTCCACAAACAGCAGCTCTAAGTTAAACACTATTTCCGTTGGCTGCCAATACAAAAGCGCTTGTGGCCGGCTGCATCCGGATGGCGTCAGTTTCCCCGAGCTTCCGCGTCGCGATGGGCCTTTGGGAGGATGTGCGGGTACGTCGGCGACGACGGTGGCGGCTGCGTGACGCATGGCGTAGGCGCCAGTGACGCTGGCCATTGCGGCCTTGATCCCTCTTCTGTGGCTCCTCGGCGCGCTGCTGACGCCAACCAACCAGCACGGTGTCTTTGCGCTCTCGATCGCGAGGTATTCCAGTACCCACTTGAGCTCTCTTCGCTCATGCTACCGCCGTGTCCAGCGTCATCTTAGAGCACATTCGCCCATGGGCCTACTTGACGGCGCCCTTTTACCACCAGTATCTGTGGGAGGTACGACCAACTTCATCGCCGAACGACGTGCGAGCAGGACGTACTAGGTCGTGTGCATCGTGCCTCTGACGGTCCTCTTGGGCGTCCGCGTCGAGAAGCACTTGGGGTCGCTTGCGATGGCGCGCCTCATGCTCTTCGTCGGCGTCGTCTCGACCGGCCTCCTCTTTTGCGATATGTTTGCGCTGTACATTGTCTTCCGCAACCCGTTCTTCCTGTACTACCGCGCTTGCGATATGGCGTGGCGCTCAGTGTCAAACTATGGCGTAGACGCACCGGGGTCTCTGGCTTCACGGGCGGCCTCGTCGCGCTCCTCGTCGCGCTCGCGCATGAGAACCCAAACCAAACGCTCTACATCCCCAAGCTCGCAGTCAAGGTACGCTTGCCCGTCGTGCTCTTGTTGACGTAGTTGCCGGTAGCATTACCCGCTGTTTGTGAGCCTTGTTTGCATGACATTGACGCTGGGTGCGGTCGTGACCAAGAGCGAGGTGCTCATCGTTGGCGCCGGACCGTACGCCGTCTCGGGCTTGTACTTTGGCTGGGTCTACCTCCGCTTTCTCCACAAAAATCAAGACGGCTCGGTGGGCAACACGTCGGACGCCTTTGCGCTCACAGTGCTCTTCCCGTCCTTCCTCAAGTACGTCGTACCGAGACTCGATGCCTCACTTCATTGCTTCTTGCTTTAGGTCGACTGTCGGCGCCATTGCGACCTTTTCCTACAGCGTCTGCAAGCTCATGGGGTTCTTCAAGCACCGCCATGACAGTGCGAGCAGCCTGCCGGTCGTTGCGGTACGACCTTGTCAAGGGACTATGTCCTCCTCAGCGTCTTTCACTTCGTAGCCAACGACAGACCCGATCACTGAGCGCCGAAAGTACGACGACATGGTGTCGCGTCGATGACTCACTGCTGCATAGAGCCCGTGCGATGAAGGCACTGGACGAGAAGCTCGCCAAGCTCGCCAACCCGGACGCCAAGCTCAACTTTGACGAGCAGATGACCGTGTAACCCTCGCCTCAATCGACATTGCGTCCATCTCTACCCCACCGACTTCGTTCTCTCCGCCTGCGCAACCGTGGAACGCGGAAGTACGAGCATCGAGATGGGTGGTGTCCATGCAAGAGGCGTCTATGGGTGCATATATATATGGCGGCGGCGCGCGTACTTAGTTGAACAATTGCGACACCGACTTCTTGCCGTGGATGTTGAGGATCGCCGATGCCAAGAGCGGCGCGACGTCGAGCTGCTTGATCTTCTCGTTGCCGACGCACGAGGCGGGGAGCGGCGTCGTGTTGACGACCACGACCTGCTTGAGGGCCGAGGCCTTGATGCGCTCGCTGGCCGGGCCGTTGAAGAGACCGTGCGATGCAAACGCATACACATTGCGCGCGCCGTGGTCCGCCAAGTGCTGCGCGGCCTTGCAGAGCGTGCCGGCCGTGTCGATCATGTCGTCGACGATGATGCAGTCCGAGCCGCTGACGTTGCCGACAAGGTCCATGCTGCCAACCTCGTTGGCGCGGACGCGCTGCTTGATGATCATGGCGAGGCCGACGTTCTCAATGCCTTCCTTGCCGACGAGCCACTCGCGGAACTTCTTGGCGCGGGCGACACCACCAGCGTCGGGCGAGACGACGACAGGGTTCACGAGCTCCATGTTGCCAAAGTGCGAGACACCGACGAGGCCACCATCAAGGTTGTCCACAGGGACACGCGGGCCAAAGAAACCCTGAATCTGGCCGCAATGCAAGTCGACGGCAATGACACGGTCGACGCCCATGGCCTCGAGGAGGCGAGCAACATCGGCCGCCGAGATCGGGACACGCGCCGCCATCTTGCGATCCTGGCGGGCATAGCCGTAGTACGGGATCACAGCGGTAATGCGGCGAGCCGACGCACGGCGCATCGTGCTGACCATGAGAAGGAGCTCCATCAAGTTTTCGTTGACGGGCACGCACGTGGGCTGGATAATGTAAACGTCCTTGCCACGGACGTTTTCATGGACCATGACATTCACTTCGCCGTCAGCGAAGCGCTCGACGGTGATCTTGCCGAGGTTCACGCCCACGAGCTCCGCGACCTTGCTCGCCAGCGGCGAGTTGGCATTGCCGCTGAAGATCTTGAGGCCGTTCATCTTGGGCTGCTTCTCGGGCACGATGATCGTCGACGGGACCGACGACAGCTCCGACGGGCGGTTCGAGGTCACGAGACCCATGCCGAGGCCGACGCCCATGGCGGTGACGGCGTACGGCAGATGCGGGCGGACGCTGGCGCGGAGGCGGTGGAACATGGCGGTATCTTCGGAAGTTGAGATGTGCCAGCGAACGTTGGCCCCACAGGTGCCATATGCTGGGATCCATAGAACTCTTCACCACACAATCTCCATACAAATTTCAAGTGTAGCTAGATCGTTGGTCCATACGCTGACATTCAGACCCATGTTTCATAATCTCAACGCAGACGGGTCAATTGGAGCACGATGTGGCGCATCAAACTTGACGTTTGTATGGACACCATCGACCATACGACGCTTTGAACCTCAATTGAGTTTGGACGGCCAAACGCCTCCCGATTGGCGCAAGCAAACATGGGACAAGCCGTGGACGGCGGCGCTCGAGTCTCTCGACCATAAAGAGCAAGTCCGACGCTCGCTCCATGGATGAGTGAAGCTAGCGACGCTGCCTCGTCATCCTTCGACTGCCGTATCTCCAAAGGCGATATTACTTAGCCCAAAGCAAGCTCTTTGCTCGGAGCTTGTCCCTCGCAGCTTTTGCTTCCCCTTCTGGCAAGCGATACGTGAACAAGCACCCAAAGCACATGCACCTGCGAGATGTGTCGGCAAGTTGCACTTGGGATGATGGATTCGCGCCAACCTGAAAATGAAACTCAAACGACGCCGAAACGAACAAAGGTGTCGTTATCGAGAGCGATCACGATTGGTCAAAATGGAAACGACGGGGATTGGCTGAAATTCGAGATCTTTTGTCAGATAGCGAGCGCGCGAAGGAGAGCGAGGATGACCAGCGACCCCATGACGATCAAACGGTACGCGGGCGACAGGAAGGCGACAGGAGCTCATGCACCTCCATGTAGAGCCCGAAAGGAAGTTCTCCATGCACCCACCTCTGTGGAAGACATCAAGGTACGAGCATGAGGCATCGTCAAGCGCGATCCTCATGGAGCTCATGCGCAGATCTACCTATGCTTTGGAGTACGGGAAGTCGACGGGATGCAGCAAGCGCGGCGAGAGGTCGCAGAGTATGGTGGATGGAGTCTTCTCCAGCCCCTCGCGCTCATCCGTAGCCTTCCATGTACCATGCTTCGTTCTTAGCCAAATTCTCTCAAGCAGCCAGTACTTCCTTCGCCTCAAGTCCCTCGACCAAGGAGCTCAAAGATATGGTCCTGCCCCATGTGATCCCTCTGGACGACGACTTGCCGCCCAAGCAATTGCCTCACGAGCGCTCAGTGTGCTCGGACGAGGCTTGTCTTCACGAGCGCTCATGCACCAAGCTTGTATCGGAGCTGCGAAAGAAAGAGGCGCAGATACAATCCCTCAAGGTGAAGTAGACTCGATGTATCGTAGAGGATAATGCGGACTCTTGTGCGTAGAATAGCATGAAGGAGCTCCAAGCTCGGTACCAACGCGATACGAAGCAGCTCCAACACGTGGGAATCGCAATACCCTCTTTGCGAAAGCCCACACCATATTAGACCATGGCCACCGTGACGACGCACGCACATGCAAGCGACAAGCTGCGCGCTAAGCAGTCCCGCGTACTCAAAGCCGTTTGCTATATATCCTTCTATATCCCACGCACTACAACTAATGGTTTGTCCTAGTCGCTTCAAAAGGCGTCGGCCAATTTGAGCTACTACCTCAACCAAAGCTGAATTATGGGCAAAGAGGTTGCCCAAAATCATCGTCGTCGATGCGTATCCGCGTGGAAAACTGCTCGCCGAGAAGAACGTCGCCGCCGGGCAGGTTGAGGTGGAACGCAACGTACGACTCGCCTTCTGTGTAGCAGTTGTCATTCATGATGGGCACGGGAATCGCGATTGAGGTGACACCGGCAGCGAACGTCACTTCGCCAGACGTTTGCTGGTACTTGCCACACTGCTCTCGGCTTGGTATCAGCATGCGCAAGCACTGTGCGAAACGAAGCGCGTCGACGCCCAGGGCATCCAAGTCGCTCGTTGCATACCTACGCACATTATCATGAGAGCTGTCGCGCAGCTATCGTCGCAAACTCGATCGTGAGTGGCGCCGTCGAGTTCCCGGCACGCAGCAGCATGACGATGGCGTGTCCGTTGACGTCGTTTTCCTTGACGCTGACTTCATTGGCCGCGACCGATACTTGCAGAAACTGCGAGTTGAAGATGTATCCGAGCCCGATATTGTTGACGGCAGCGGCGCCGGGACTCCCGACGGCGACATGGCCGCTCGTGATCGACACGGCGTACCCAAATTGGGCGCCCGCGGCTTTGTTGACCGCTTGGAGCTTGGCTGTTTCCCGACCTGGCCAACGTGGTGGTAAGAGCACATTGCCCAGGGCGTCGCGCTCAGCAGGGACACGGGAGTACACGTAGATAGAGCCGGTCGCAGACCCGTCGACAATCGAGTTGTTGAGGTTGACACCGGCTTGACCTTGCGCGCCGACGACAGCGGTGCCGTTGACGTCATCGATGCTGACGCTGAAACCAAACATGTCGTGGTCGCGCTTATCACTTGCAACGAGCCGCGCCTGGAGCATCCATGCGCACTGCAGCTTGGGGACACCGCTGCAGACGCCATATACATTCGAGGACGTGCTTTGATAAAACACATAGGCGACGCCCGCCAGTTCCGTGGTCGCTTGCTCGATTGGCCAGTCGAAATTGAACGCATCGACGTTGATGTGACCCCAGAAAGCGCTCTCGGAGGCGTCGACGATGCGGATTTGCGCCGTGCGGTTCATGTACGGCGCCACGTTCCAGGTCACCGAGTGCAAACGCTCCGAGCAGCGTCCTGTGTTCTTTTGCACCGAGACGCCGTCAATGAGTAGCTCGACGTAAATGGTTCGGAGGGTACAGCCCCCGCCAATGCGAAACCGGATTCGACTACCGCGAACCGAGAACGGCTGTGACGTAAGGGTGCCTTGGGGACCGTCGCCTTGTGCCGTGCCTGCGATGGCGGCGCCCGGTACCGCGTTTTGGCTCGCAGTGCAGTCACCGTTCAAGAAGCCACACGAGAAAGGTGTCGGGTTCTGGCTCTGTCCAGCGCCTGGACGCGCTTCGTACGTGCCAACCCAGTACCGACCTTCAAAACCAATGACGCCGAGACCTTGGCGCTGCACCCGACTCGAGGGCCCGGGGGAGCGAGCGCGGACGTTTTCGCCAAACGTCGGCTGCTGTAGAAACGCAGTACCCGTCTGCACCCAGCCTGTGAGATCCCCCGTCTCGAAATTCCAAGTCGTCGTAACGAGTGCCGACGAGCCGAAGGCGCCAACAATGATCGAGTCGCCATCAATGTCGACGTCAGACCCAAACCGGTCGGCATGATTGCCGTCGGCGGCCGTGAGCTGCTGGTGGAAGGTCCATGTCCCGAGTGGCGCAATGTTGGCAACAGAGATCTGGCCGGCGGGGTTGGCAGCATACCTATCACCACGATGGTGAGACTCCCTGCTTCACACGCATGTAGGTACCCGCTGTTGAGTGCTGCACACAAAAGACACCCGTGCCCATGCCACGCCGCGAGAAAGGTGGGTACGGTCGTGACTTCTGACAGAATGGTCACAGTCCACGTAAAGCCCTTGACGATGCTGCCCGTCCGCACAACTTGCACTTTTGGCAGTAGTTGCTCGAGCGCGATCGTCAAGTCGAGAGCGGTAATTTCGTAGCTGAGGAGCACCGTCGACGCACCACCGATGGACAAGACAAAATGGCCGGCATTCAACGGCATATCAGCGCGCAGCGTGACTTGCTGCACTTGCGCTGGAAGGTAGTAGACGTATACAGCGCCGGTGCCCAGGTAGGCCGTGTCGTCGATCCGCGTTGGACCGTATTTGGCCAAAGGCGCGCCAACGACAAGCGTCCGCGGTGCGAGCGCCACCGACGTGCCAAGCCCGAATTCATGGACCACATTCTGCAGATACACAACGTCGCTGGCGTAGTCGGAGGCGCGCAACACGATGGCCGGCTGCCACAGAGTGGCCGTGAAGGTGTACAGGAACGCGCATTCGAGACCGGCGGCCCCCACGACAATGTGATAACCGTGGATCGCTACAGCGTTGGCGGCCGCATACTTGGCGTTCCCCGAGACCGCCGTAGGCTCGCGAAGCTGCGTCTCGAGCGACCACGTGCCGAGCACAGCGTTGCGCGTATAGACAAACGCAGCCGGCGACGGGCCACTCGGCGCGCCCACGACGAGGCGGGTCGTGCCATACGCGGCATCGATCGCCAACGACGTGCCAAAGGCCAGTCCCTCGCTGCACGTCGGCGGTCGCAACGTTGTTTCGAGTGCCCAGATGCCGCTCGTCGCGCGGTAGACAAGGACGGCCCCGCACACCGTTTGGCTTGTTGGATCCACTTGCGACGGTGCGCCGAGCGCTGCCAAATTGCCGCTTTCGAGGAGCGCGATGGCGGCCCCGAGCCGCGACGGCGCACTGCCCGACAACATGGCTGTGTACGAGGTGGTGCCAAAGCCGCCGTCTCCGTTGTCGAGGATTGTGATCTGCGACCAAAATTGGCTCGGGTAGCTGGGCCACATGCCGGGCACGCTCAGACGCACGTTGATGGTCTCGTCGGGCAACTCAAAGACCATATCGTCATTCGTCTGGACGACAATGGATGCCGACACGTTGTTTTCTGGAAACAGCAGCGCGGCATTCGTCGGCGTGTAGTCCGAAAGCCCCTGGTAGTCAAACTGCGCGTCGACCCAGCGCGACCGCGTCTCGGGGCTGCCGTAGAACTGGGCGCGGCTGTTGGCGGTGCCAACCCACGAACGCCGCAGGTAGCGTCCGGACGGCACCTGCGGGTACGGCTCGGGGCCAATCACATTCGGATAGTACGCTGCGCCTGGCGTCGTGGCTGTCACGTCGAGCATGGCGAGCTGCTGGAACGGTCCGATGTACTTGCGCTTTCTCGACGGCACTGCGTTGGTGCCTGCCAGATCTGAGACCGCGTCGCCCGTGTCCACGTTGATGTATCGCGCCGTGGTGCTACGACAGGGGAGACTTGAGTGAGGCAGATCACTCCGAAAACGTATAAATACGTCGTTGTCAGCTTGCACGCGAGGCCAGCCGGTCCGCAGCGCTGGATCGGCACCGACACTGACGCGCCTTCGAGGACGCTGTACGACGGCGATGAAAGAGCAAAGTCGAGGAACCCCATGTCAAAGATGTAGCCTGCGCCGCTGTTGACATGGGAGAAGCGCGTGTCGGCGTTCGGCGCGCCAACGATCGCGTTGACGCCTGTCCTTGCCATGGCCACCGCGTCACCAAAAAAGCTACACGACAGTCGCGGACGATGCTAACTCGCCAGACGCACCTGAAAAACTGCTTGTGGGTCGGACGCAGCGTCGCTTGCTCTGTCCACGAGGCGCCCGACCGTGCAAAGACGTAGACGTCACTGCGCACAATGGGTGGGACAGCCACCAAAACTGACGCCGCGATACGAACGTCATTGCCCACGAGCTTGGACCCGTCGACGCGAAGCTTGTGCACGTTGCCCGTGGCGCCCGCGAACGTTATGTACCACGTACACCCGCCGTTTGCATCAGGTCCGAGCCGTTGAACGACCAGCGCACCCGTCTGTAGCGACGCCTCCAGCGCTGTTTGAAGCGCGACGGCGCTCACGTCAAATGGAATCGGTGGTGAGTATCTAGCGACACGTGCCTCAATATCATTGACACAGAGACGAGCGCGTATTACACGTAGTCGGTGGCGTGGCCTCGGCGGTACTGGTGGTACCCGACACGAAAGGTGCTGCCGGCCTGAATCGGAGTCGCCGCCGACGTTGTAATGGTTTGGACGGCCTTGCGCACCGTGCGCGGTATGCTGGAGCCATACTTGGCGTTGGCGCCGACTAGAAGAACGTTCTGCGCGACGGCAACACTGTGGCCAAACCCATCGTTGGCGCGCGCGTTCGACGCCGACACTTTTTGCTGCAGCGTAAAGTACACGTCCGGTAGCGTGTAGACGTAGACGGCACCCATCGCGCTCGTCTGCGTCTCGCTGCCCACGGCAAGCGTCGACGTGGCCATGTCGAGGTCCAGTGCGCTCCCAAAGCGATCGCCAAGTTGCAAGTCGGCCGCCTACCACGACGCATTCGACTCGCTTCAGCGCAAAAGACATGTGTACTTGAATTTGTTGGTGAACGACGAACACGCCGTTGACTCGGACATAGATAAAGACCGCGCCGAGGCCTCCATCGTAGCCAGGTGCGCCGACAACAATCTTCGAGCCGGAAACCGCGACGGAATCCCCAAACCGGTCGCCTTTCGCACCAGCATACGGCGCACTCGTGAGAATTTGAATCTACGAGAACGTTGCTTTGTCCAACAAGAGAAGGCAGAGACGATGGCTACCTGGTTCCACGCGACGCCGTCGTACTCGTAGATGTAGACTTCGCCGATCGAGCTGCTGGCGCCCGGCGCGCCCACGACCGCCAGCGTTGTTTCGATGCTGGCACTTGCCCCCAGCTCGCTCGCACTTGCACCCGATGCGCTTGATGGTGTGAATTTGGCTGTTTGGGTCCACGCACCCGTGGGGCCCAAAGCAAAGAAGTAGGCGCCGCCACACGTCACGCCTTTTGCTCTGGCGCCGTCAAGTCGGAAAGAGCCCACGATGGTCTCGAGCACGGTCACCGTCCCCGGCCCTCCGCCGTTGGTCAGCTGGGTACCGTCTACGCCTCATGTATCACCAAAGGTCGAGCGTAAGCGTCATACGCACCTGCGACCAGGTTGGGTACATTGCCACTCGCGTCACTTAAGTCGGGCGTTGAGAAGGTGATAGCAACGCCAGCGCCATTGCACAGTGTCGTGTACGGGGCCACACTAAGAAGGGATTCGGGTACGTTGAGAAGCGCGGCCAGCGTTGCTTGGAGCGTCGCCTATACCATGTGCATACTCAGTACTATAGTGAAACGATTCAAAGGGAAGCAGACTGCTGGTGTGGCAAACGAGATGGGCGCGGACGGTATCCCCAAGAACGATAGGGTAAAGGCCCCACCGTCGGCCGTGCACACCAGTGTCTGCACCTCTTTGCGGCCTCGATCCACCTACACCACGTGCGCTTTGGCTCGTGTTAAGGGCACTGGCACGTACTGCATACGGCGCGCCAATGACGATGTGGGTGCCAGCCATGTTGACGGCGACGCTCGCCCCAAACTGGTCGCCCAGCTGCGTGTCGTCGCCGACCAAGACGCTCGTCGCGACCCAGTGCTGGTTCTTGGGCACGAAAACGGTGGCAGAGCCCGCATTTTGCCCTGGGACATTGCCGTACGCGACAGCAGAGCTCGCCGACGGGTTGACGCCGGCATATTCGACAAGGATGGTTGCGCTGGAGCCCACGAGGAGCGGTGACCCGTTGAGTTGCGTCGTGGGCACCAAAGGCGGCAGCGTACCGAGGCTGTTGAGCACGAGCCCGTACGTCGTCATGAGGTTGACCTTTAGAAACGTGATGGTCCACGCATAGCCACCGAATGCGTTTGGCCCGGATCGCGCAACGCTGACGGCCGAGACCACCGGCAGCGTCAAGAGCGCCGTCTCCATCGCAGCTGTCGACGCCGTGACTGCAATGTTGGGTGTCGCGTACCCGCCGAGGCTTAGCTGGAAGCTGCCTGAGAGCGGTGCATAACCTTCACGCACGGTGCGCACGGCAAGAAGAGCTTGGTTGCCGGCCAGAAGCACCGGTGCAGGTTGGAGTGGGTTAGGGTTGAAGAGCGACGCCGTCGCATCAAATGTGATGCTCCACGTATAACCAGATTGTGGCGTGGGCGCCGACCGGGCGACACTAGATCTGATTTGAATGACGTCGATTTGAAGTCTGCGTACCTGAGAATGGGCAGATTCAGATCCGCAAACAGTCGCGTGGCCAGCGTTGGTGCGTCAATGTCGACAGCCAAGTTTTGTGTCACTAAACTGCCGTAGCGGAGGGCGAACGAGCCCGACACGACCGCTGGTGGCACGAGAACGGTGGCCAAAGCACCTCCGCGCCCGTCGCCGACCGTGGCGCCGGCGCCCGAGAGAAAGTTGCGTGCGAATAGCGTCGGGATGTCGCCCGGTACGCGAAAGGTTATCGTCCACGCAAACGCATTCCAGCAGCCGCAAAACGTATTGGGCGACCGTGTGACGTCAATCGACCCGAGGGGGTATCCAAAGTCGAGCTCGAGGGCGACCTTGAGCTGCGTCGCGTCATAGTCACTTGCGATGCGGCGCGACGGCCCCACGGCACCCAGCAACAGTGAAAAATACCCGCCGACAGTCTCGCCAGGCGCCGCGCTTGTCGTCAACACCTAGTTTGTGTTTTTGGGACCGTAGCCATAAACTTAGAAGCAATTACCTGGACTGCATCGCGGTGAGTGCAGGACGTCATAACGTACTGGACTTCGTTGACGAACGCGGTCGCACTGCCGGTGGCGGTGACGACTTGAACGTTGTATTCGGCGACCTTGGCGCCGGGTGAACCGACAACAGCAACGCTACTGGTGACCGCGACGCTGGCGCCGGTGCGGTCGTCCCGATTCAGTACACTCAGCGGAGCATTGCGCACTTCGTAGACCGCCGAGTACGACACCTCAATCATCGTCTTCGTGACAACCCCCGTGCTGGACGCAAAGAAGAGCTGGTAGCTTCGGCCAATGGTGCTAATGCCGAGCTCGAGAAACGAGGCGATGCCAGCGACCGCCTGGAAGACGCGACCGCCAAAGAGGGTGCCGCCCGGTGGATTGAGATGCACATTTACGGGCTGCGTTGCAACGGACGCCGGTAGCGTCGGCGCCGTGAGGATACTACCCCCGTTGAGCTGCAGCGCTTGCGTGTCGGCATAGTCGAGAGCGTCACTGCGATCACCTGTTTGCACTGTGTATCGGAAGACAAGCGTCGGGCTGGCGCCGGCCGGCGCCACAAGGAACGCTTGACGCTGCGAGGGCCCCGACGCCATGCGCAAGAACGGCGACCCAGACGTCGTGACGGCGGCGCTGAACGTAACTTGCACGTCTACGGCGCTCCCGACGACGTACGTGGCATTGGGCGACAGAAAAGATATGTCGGTAATGTACGGCGTCGTCCCGCGGATCTGAGCGTTGCTATTCGCACTCAACGAGCCCGCAGCACCGGGCAGCGGCAGTAAGCAGTTGGCCGGGACCGTAGGAACCGTTGCCCTATACAGTGTCGCATGTGAAATGAGCGCGTCTTGTTGATGAAAGATGCTTGCATGAAGCGGATGGTCGCGCCGGGTGGGCAGTAGAGCGATTTGGAGTCGAGGTAGCTCAAGTCCGCCGACACATCGTCTCGCCCAATGGTATAGCGAAACACTAGTATTGTGGACGCGGTACCCGAGACGTAGATGGCGCGACGGTCGTAGCGACCGAGGTCCAAGAGCAACACGGGGATGCCCGTCACGGCGACCGTCTCGGTAAACGTCACCTGAATCTGTATGACGTCACCGACATAGTACGCCCCGTTGGGTGTCACCGCAGCAACGTCCGTCACAAGTGGCGTCCGAGACGTGTCGACCACGAGGTTGAGACCGAGGTTGGCCACGGGTGGCAGTGCCAGGTTCATCGGTGTCGTCGGCGTCGTCGCCAACCGGAGGATGCTGCCTCGGTTGTAGTTGAGCGTCAAGGCCGACGTACTCGTGTATCGCAAGGCGGGTGTCATGTCGCCCGCCATCACAGTATACTCAAACAGCAGTTGCGTGCGGTCTCCAGTGTTGTACCCTGCGAAATAGGCGGCACGGCCGGTATTGAGAAGCAACGTCGGAACGCCGTGCGGCAGCGCCGTCGGTGACGTCTGAACGTCCACGGGCTTGCTTGCGACGACGAGGATCTGAACGACGTCGCCGACGACGAACGTTCCACGGTTGATCAACGGCGCCGGCGTCAGCGCCGACACCGAGACCACAACTGGTGCGGCGGTACTGATCGCAATGTTGGCGGGCTGCAAACTCAAGCCCGTGCAGTCCCTGTTGACAGCGACGTTGTTGGCGTTCAGAAGGCTGCAAGGTCCACCGGCCGTGCACGACAGTGGCGACACCGAGCCAATACCGAGGCTCGCGGTCGCATCCGGCGGCTGTACCGTGTAGAGGAACACCAAGGTCGAGGTCCCCGACCCCGTCGCGTACGTCACGCTGCGGGTGTTGAGCGCCAACTGCATGCTTCCCGTGACAAAGACACTGTCTGAGAACACCACAGAGATCGCAAAAACGTGGTTCTCGCCGTACTCGCCCGCGATTTGGTCGGCCGAGATGGACACGACGCTTGTCACGTGACCGAGTGCCGGGTCCAGTGCAATGGGTCCGTTCGTAATCGACGCCGGCCAGGGCAGCGACAACTGGGCGGCGAGCATGGGCGACGACGACCGTTGTCGAATCGTAGCCCCGTGCAGCGCAATGACGGCCCACGGCACGTAGCTCAGCGCCGGCGTCGCGTCGCCCAGCGCCACCGTGTACGCAAAGACGAGTGTCGACGTGCCAGAGCCAGACGCATACGTGGCAGTGCCTCCGTTGCTGAGGGCAATCGACGGAGTACCATCGGCGACGACGACGGGGAATGAAAAAGTAATGGAAAGCGCAATCGTGGCACCACGGACGTACGTAGACGGTGTCGCCGGCCACGCAACGGTCGTGACGACGGGCGCGACACCGTGGAGGGTCAAACTCGCTGTGGCACCTAAGTTCCGGCCGTTGCCTGTCGCCGCCGAGAGGTCTACGTTGCACGCAAGCAGCGCTGTGCCGGCGGTCACGTGCCGAACGAGATCGCCGCCGTTGCGCACGAGTGCCGTAGACGACGCATAGTCGAGCGTCGGGACATTATCCTCTGGCTGAACAATGTACTTGAACGAGAGAACGGTCGAGCCGCTTCCCGAGACGTACGACGCATACCGCATCGTGTTGAGCAAGAGAAGGGGGATTCCCGAGACGTCGACGGGCGCTGTAAAGGTCACTTGGAGTACAATGGGGTCCCCGGCTGCGTAGACGCCGTTGGCTGTCGTGGACGTGACACCGACGGTCGGGTCGACGATCGGGGCAGCCGACGAGAGAGCAAGGGCACACTGCATAGGAAGCCGCATCGCTGCTGCATTTGGGAAAAGTAAAGTGGCATCTTGCGTGAGGACCGTGCCCGCGCGCCGCACAATCGCCCCGTTTGCGCTGAGCGACATCGTCACGTCCAGTGCCGCCGTGCTGTCGGCGAGGCCCACAGTATACTCAAACACCAAGCCCGCCGTGTTGTTGCCGCTCACAAAGCCAGCCGTCCCACCCGTGTTGAGAGTCAGGTAGGGCACCTGGGTGCCGTGGACGGCGACGGGCGACGAAAAAGTCACGAGCAGCTGGAGCGTCTGCCCTGGACCGTACGTACCGGCCACGGTCGGCGGCGCGCACCCGACCGAGACGATCACCGGAGCGGTTGTGTCAACCGATACGACCGGGTGCAATCCCGCTGCGGGCAGAGTGAGCGTCGGTGAGACGCCAATGCGGTCTTGCAGCGTCGCGCCGGGACTTACCACCAGCGCGGAGGTGGACGCGTAGTTGAGTGCGGCGCTGGTGTCGCCGACTGCAATGACATACCGGAACGTAAGCGTGGTCGACCACGTGAGGAGCGTGTCGCACGTTGCGACGGCGCCGAGTCCACTGTTGAGCTGCAAGACAATATTGCCTCTGGCTTGGACCTGCTGGGAAAAGGTGACGTTGAGAAGGAGCACCGTACCGACGCCATGCCTACGTCACATCAATGATCAGAGTCCTTCTCGACGACCCAAGGCGCGCACGGTGCTGAAAATGGTGACGGCAAAAGCCCCACGTCCGTGATGGCGGCCACCGGGCAATTCGCTGTCGAGACCACGAGCGTGCTGTACACGGCGAGGCTGGGGACCATCGAGACGGATACAAGCGCGGCATTTTCACTGGTAAGCGTGTTGTTGCCGCGGTCCTAACGAAGCATCATCACCCTACTTCTGCGAACGCAACGATCAACCTTGAGGGCAATGACTGGCTGCTCTGTAAACGGCTGCCCATCTACGGACGACGTGAGAGCTTACTCGTCGCCGCTGCTATAGGCAAGCACCCACCCGCGAGCGCATAGATGGTGGGCGACTGCACGACCTGCAGCGAGAAGAGTGCGCCGATGTACACGGGAAAGGACGGTCCAAGGACGAAAAGACCGGTTTCATTGTACGTGTCGTACGTGAAATTGTGGGAAATCACGGCAAAACGCAGCACGTAGCCAGGACCGGCAGCGTCGATGCGCAGGTTCTTGAAGCTTGCGACCCCGCGATCGACACTCGCATTGGTCTCAATCGCCGGGTACAAGCGGCCGCCGGACGGGTTGGCGTAAATCGAAGCGGTCACAAGCATCTTGGGCTCGGTCGAAAGGATGTTCCCGCCCGCGTCGAGCAGCTGCAGCGTGGGCTGGACCATAAACGCTTGGCCGCCAAACGCCGACAAGGGGTGCGCTAGGATCGCCAACTACCAAAGGAGATGCGATTTCACTGCGTTTTGATACAAAAGAGTAGTATACCCGCGCGGGTGGCCCCGTTGCGACTACAAATGGGCGACTCGTGAGCGAGCGTCCGCCCGGCAAGAGCAGCGTCGCGTCGCACGTAAAGTGGAGCGTGTACGGACCGCCCGCCTTGTCAATCTGGAGATTCTGGAAGGCAGCGACGCCCTCCGAGAAGATCGCGATCTGCGCACTTGGCGGCGTGAGGATGCCACCGACGGGGTTACTTCCTATCGCGACGGAGACCGTCCCCGTATTCACGCTGTAGACGACGTTGCCGCCTTTGTCGACGATCGAAACAACAGGCTGCGGCGCAAAAGGCGACCCGCCGGTCGTCGCGCCCAAGGCCGTTGATAACGCGATCGTATGCGGAAGTCCGAGGAGGATGTCGAAGGGATGCGACGTCGTTTGCACGCCAAACGAGAGCGAGACAAACGTGAGCGTGTACCCGGACGCAACCCAGTCGATCGAGAGACCGGTGCACGTGATGACGCCGCCAACGATCGGGAAGGCGAGGCCGGACGCGCCAGAGAGATGCGCGTAGAGGCGCGGGTTGGTGCTAATGTACACCGAGACAAAGCCGCTGTTGACGTGGCGCAGGACGGTCCCGGCGCCGTCTTGGAGCTGCAAGGTCGGTGGCGGCGAGAGCTCGTTGCCCGCGGCCGTCGCGACGGGCTGCGAGATGAGCACGAGCTCGTTGCTACCCACGAGCGTGCACAGCGCGAGCAGCAGCA